ACATACTTATAAACTTCAAAGATAGCAATAATTAAGAATTTTTATATAATGAAATTTAAACTTATAATGAACAGAAACAAGAGTTTGCAATCTAAATTTAAAGTATAGCCCAACTTATATGAACTCAATTTTGTTTCTGAAAATAGAACTTATTCCAAACAAGTAGACCTACTGCTCGGAAAGTGTACTAAAAATGTGTTTATGCTGGTGATTCCCTAACCTAATGTCTGTTTAACATAAAACAAAGTAGTTTTGTCACAGGAAAGGAAGATACATTTAATGAGTATGTTAAAAACCAACTCCTTAAAGAAAGACAGCTTTCTATGTTGTTATCTTCTGAATATTTTTGCACTTACTTGTTAAACTAAGTTCTCTGGTGGCAAGAATGTTTTATGGTCATCTTGTATTACCAGCCCTTGTATTACCACACCAAAACTGGCACCATAGCACAGCCTCTAGCATTTCTTAAAATGACTGACCTGTTTTGTCTGAAAAATGAAAAATGATTTGCCCAACAGGTCAATTAAAGGCTGATTATTTGCTTCAGTAAAGGAAAATAACAATTAGAATCCTTTAAATCTTTACCTAATATATCCGAAATCACCTATACAAATTCAATTTACATGACATTAGCAATATTTTACCTCATTAGTTAAGATGTACTTTTGGACAAAAGTTCAGTTCTGCTTACTGAACTATTTTTCAAGTTTGATTGTAGTCAGTTTTGTATTGGGCAGACTTCAATGGAAAATAAAAACCAGGGTCTGATTTAGAAGTGACTTGGGCAGCACAACCACATATTAAATTCCAGACAATGGCACTAATAGTTATTTACGAGGTAGCATGCACCACCTAGATTTTCCATCTATTTGAAAAACTATAAATACACACACCAAAATTTATCTTTTCCATTAACTATTTTTTTAGTTGGGAGCCTTTAAAATTTTCCATTAACTACTTTTTTAGTTGGGAGCCTTTAAAATTTTTTGTACCTCTCATTTTTTCATGTTTCAGGGCAGCAGCCATATGGTTAATCATAACAACTTAGACTGCTTAGGCTGAATACAGGCTCTGCTACCAACTGGATAAATCTCTGGACTTATTTTCCTCAACTAAAATATGGGGATAAAACAATATCTACCTCATAGGAATAATAAAGATAAAGCATTTTAAGTAACAGTCCCTGGCATATTAGAGTTATCAGTGTCATTCTTATACAATTTAAGTGTATAAAACAAAGATATGCAATCTGCTGGTCTCATTCAGAATTGCGTTTTCCCTGTAACTGAGCATTTAAAAATGAATTATAAGCAGAAATGTGCCCAGATTTCCTATTATCCCAAACATAGTGAAACAGTTGCATGTGCCCTCCTCACCCAAGCCTTTAAACAGACACTGATGGAGAAAACTGAATGAATTCATTCAAAATAAAAGTCTTCCTAACACTTCCGCCCCAAAATTCAAGAGCCCTGATAAGACACTATCCAGAATCAATTGAAAGAATATTTATATCAATATGTGCAAACCACTCTGAGCACCTTGAGAGAAAAAAAAAAAAGATCTCACCCAAGTTTATGAGTCCAGTAGGCAATGATGGCAAAATACAAAGAAACTGACTTGTAATTTCTAAAAAGCACTTTAAATGTTCTTCTTCTCTTGTAAAACCACCAAAATAAGAACAAAAAATTCTAGGGGAACTGACGAAAATAAACTTTTGTATTGAAAGAATGTAGGAAAGTAAATCGAAACTGACTCCTTAGGGAAGATGACAGCTTATTTTACTATTAATTCTAAAGTTCTCATTCAGAATTAGCATTTTATTATTTTACCTTTCAGAAAGATTGCAACTTGAAACTCAAGCACCTTCCCAAACACTGATTTAACTGCTTCTGGTTTCCATTCTATGCCTTTTTGTTTTCAGTTAAACTTCTGGATCTTATGGTTAAAAAAAAAAAAAAAAAAAAAAAAAAAAAAAAAAAAAAAAAGAAAGATCTTATTCTTAAAAAAAGGCAAACAAAAAGGCCGCCCTTTTGTTTAAAAGAGCACAACGATCAGACACTCCACTTCTAAAGTTTGTTTTCACTTGTCTTACACTCTTCTAATAATTGCTACAAACTTAACAGTATTCTGATTCCCTTTCAAGTATTACACATAAAAGACCTTAGAAAAAATTTTAGAAAAGGCCAACAGTCCACTAAACTACAAATCTAAGTCTACTGAAGACAACCAATCACTTTACTTTTGGATGTCATTTACACAGGAACGTGACTTCTGTTCCTAAATTAAAACACGGACCACCATTAACTTCGTTTTCCCTAATAAATAAGTACCAAAGTTAAGAGCAAGTATTTCAACAAATATGACAAACTCACCTCGGAGCACAAAACTGGCTGATAAAATTAACACCACAGCACAATTTCAAAACTATAAGCAACTACAACAAACAAACCCCGCACCCACCCTTATGTAAACTTTTGGAGTAAGCAAACTTCTTTAGCCTCACCTTTGTTTTCGTCTAGCAAGGACTCTTCAAGATAAGACATCAATTGCAAGAAGACCAAAAGATCAAAGAGATTCAGTTGTCTCCGTAAGAGAAACAACTAAAAATTTAAGATAACTTAAAGTATTTAAGTTACTGAAGCTCGAGGCACTTCCCTAAGCTACAGCCATTTTAGATTCAGCCTTTCTTTTGAATTTCACGAGGTGGGGTGGGGTGGGGCGAGAGGTAGATTTAAAACAACAACAACAAAAATTTCTCGTTGTAACACTTTAAGATCAACCGGCTTCTTTTCGGGGGCGGGGTTGGTAGGTGCTGGATAGACTAAATCAACGAAAACACTTCGCTACCAAGGAAAACCGGAACGCTAGGGGTTAAAGTTCTTTTCCTTTCAGATACTCCACATTTGACTTACACGATTATTTCCTCCTTAGGTTTTCCTTCATTGGAAAAAAGGCGCTGGCTCTAACTTAAGAAGGAAAGAAAAAACCCGTAAACCAAGTCACTCAAACACCAACAAGCCGAAACTCCTGGAGAGGAGCCAGAGAGCCGCAGGTGAGCGTTCCGACCCGGAGACCAAAGTTGAAGTAGGAGCACTCTGGCAGAGGCGCAGCGACGCTTGCGCTCAAAGCGCCACGCTCGGGGCTAGGTGCCCGGTACGAAATACGGGACCCGTGGGCTCCGCTCCCCCTTTCGGGGCCGACCTACACCCAACCACCTGTGTGAGAGCCTCCTTCAACTTGTTTTATCAGCCGGCCGGTCAAGCACCGGGCGGAGTCCCACGCCAGGAAAACTCTAGATCTCCTATTACCCATTGTCCGGAACTCCCACTCACCGGGCAGCGGCCGGACTACAACCAGAAACCGGACGCGGCGTCTAAGGGAGCGTCCCCAGCTTCCTGATCCCGCAGAGGTGGAGAACCCACAACCATAACAAAGCTCTTCCCAAAATGGCTGCCCGGCCCACAAGGCCCAGGAGGGGCAGATCGGACGAGGGGGGAGGAGCGACGACCAGCCCAGCCCTCTCCCACCCGACCCCGCCTCCTACACGCCCACTAATTCGCACAGTCCACAAGGGCGCACGCACCCTGTTTGGATGACCCTGCCCGCGCCGTACACCGCCACCGTTGGAGCGCGTGAACGGCGGTTATTCCCTGCCCCGCCCCCAGCGACTCCGACCCCGGCTAGCCTAGTTTGGCACTCCCCTCTTATCCTGGTGCCCAACACTCGGGCCTGGACGCGTGTCAATGAGTAGGGTGGTGTGTATATGTGTACCCATTTTTCCCTGTCCCTTCTTTACTTTCCCATACCCCACCTTTGGGTAAGCACCCGTCCCCAAACTACCTCTACAAGTACTAGCAAACCAGTTTAGTAGAAGCATGTTTTCCGACCCCTTCCCACCTTCCGCTCCTTCAGGTGCGCATGTCAAGACTCCAGCCCCCAGCGGGCCACTCGGCAAGGCTGTGGAGGTCTGCGTGGCTGGAGCTGACGCGCTACCCGCTGGGAGTGGTAGTTCCGCCTGATGGCTGGCGTCCCGCCCCCCGCCCAGCGCAGGGCGGATTTCTGTCCGCAGTGCCATGGCGGAGAAGCTGTTCTCCGACCCATAGTCTCATTGGGTATCGCATGACGGGAAGAGACAGCACTGCCGTGATAGAGAAGGAAATAAAAGTGAAAGCCTATCGCGACCAGAAACGGTTACTATTACAAAAAATTAGCTGTGAGCTCATACTGCATGGAAAGCCAAACCTTATATGATGGCTGGTAACAAGGAAGCTAGGCCACCTAGAATCCAGAGGAATGGAGAAGCTGGCCAGCGTGGGCACCTTGAGCTGTTCTATTATGTGTTTCCAGAAGGTCACTCCAATTGCTTGGTGCTGTTCCCTTTGATAGTAAAATGGAGGCCCAAAGAAGGGAACAGACTTACCCAAGGTCACATAGCCGACAAGTTAAAGTTAAAGCAAAAGGTGACAGAGGGAATGATCTAACTTTACGAATCGCCCCCCGGCTCTTATCACCACATCTTTCATGAAAGCCCGTCCCTTGTGCTCTTTATTTCTTAATGAAGTTTCCGTGTCCCAGGAAAGAGAATGGAAGTAGAAAGATCCCTCCCCCACAAATGGTATTAGTTCAGGACTCTAATGCGCAGTGAGATGTGTCCCGACGATTCTAGAAAGGCTGCCGTTACGCAAAATAAAAGATGAGTTCCAGAGCACAAGCAGTTTGACCAAGCCACATTTGGCCTGGTCTCCAAATCTCTCCTACCTTCCTCCACCACCATCACTGAGATTGTTTCAGTAGTTGCACTCTACCCTCCCGAATTCTGCGGGTTAGATTCTGCTGGCTGGGAAACCTGTGAATAGAGAGGCAAGGATCGTTCGGGTGGGTACTCTACAGACTTCAAAAGCCGACTTTCACTAGAATTAGGAGTGGCCCAAGACGGAAAGCACTGCCTGGGAACCACTTTAACGCTAGTCAAGTCCCCACCCGGACTCATTTTTTCCCGTTGTCAGGAAGTGGGGGACTGTCTAACCCCACTTGCCGGAAGTGTCTTTTCACGAGAACCTGAATTTTCCTGCAGCTCAGCTTTCCATCTCCCGGCGCGACGCTGGCAAGTAAATAGCAGGGCAGCTGCCAGTGGCGCAGGTTGGGAAGGTGAGCACTAAGGGTTAGGAGTAAACCGAAGCCGCGGGCTCTGTTGGGCAAAGTTTCCCGAGGATGCTTGCGTCCAGACTCCACCCCCTTTTCTCATGTCTCTGAGGCTTACAGTTTGTAACTTTTTCTCTTGGGGCAGTGGAAATACTTGAGCGTTTTCGCCTAAATTGAGCGGATTAACCCTTGGATCTTTATCCTTAATTTCCTCTCCAGTTGGCAGGCCCCGAGCTTTAGGCTATCATTTTTTCGCTTTGATACCCATGAGTTAGAAGACACGTCAGTGCACAGGGGAGTTCCAAAGGTGGAAGGAGCGCTTAGATTTTAAGTGGGGTGGCCAGGAAGCCCCTTGGGCAGATGATTTTGAGCCAAGGTGTGCGGCCCCCGTATATATCTGCTTGGGAGTCAGGGAGTGTGTGTGGTGGGTGTCATTTAAGACCTCAGAGGCCCAGGACAACAACTCCCTACTTGCTTCCTTACATGTAGAATGAAGACATGGACTTGTATACAGGATTTCTCCACCCAAGCCTAATATCTGTGATCAAGAAATTAGTTCATTAAAAATTTTAATTAAGCGGTAACTGTGGGTTTTAGATTTGACACCTCATTTTCCTGGTTAGAAATGGGACTTGTGTAAGACAGATCTGGATTCATATTTTCACTCAGCCACTTACTGGTTACATATATTAGACAGGGTTCTTAACTATTCTCTCTTGTGTAAGCAAGGAATAATAGTTAACATTTTTGAGTGTTTACTTTGTGTCAGGAACTGTTCTCAGGTCTTTACATGTATTAACTCATTTAATTTTTACGACTCTATGTAATTATGTTTATTTTCAAGTGTAAACTGTCCATAGCAAAATTAAGTAACTTGTCCAAAATCACAAAGGTAGTAAGTGTTGGCCCCTGGATTCCAACCCAGATTGACTCAAGTTTGCACTCTAACAGGCTACGTACAGTCTCTCAGCACCAAGTTGATTTGATGATGTTACTGTATTAAATGAGTTAATGCATATAAAACACAGTTATAGTGTATGGTTCATAGCTAAATTGTATGGATTGTGACTATCATTTTGAGCTGTTAACTCCTAAGCCTCAAAGTAGGTAACGAAGGGGAAAAAAAGAACAGAGGCTATGACCTTCAGTCTTATGGAAACTGTTATGTGAAAGAAATTCACATGAGTTACTACTTTAAGAAATTATGATCTATGGCCATGCCACCCTGAAAAAGCCAGATGCCATCTGATCTCGGAAGCTAAGCAGGGTTGGGCCTTGTTAGTACTTGGATGGGAGACCACCTAGGAAGACCAGGTGCTGTAGGCTTAAAAAATAAGGGATTGTAAGCTGACAAGGTCCTTGCAATCTGTAAGGTCAACTAAGGGTAGCCTTGCCAAAGAAAAAAATAAAATTAAAAAAAAAATAAAATTATGTATAAAATGAAGACAATTAAGTGATATCTTGTTTTGTAGACAGCAACATGCTTGTGATTCAGCTCCTCCACTTAGCTGTAAAAATACATTGATCAGAACTGCCTGGCATCTTCCTGAGCAAGACTTCATTAGGGCCCAGTATGCTTCACTTCATCAAAAAGTTTTCTCGAGCATCTTCAAAGGTTAGTTTATTCAGCAAATATTTGAGCACTACTTGCCAGGCATGGCTTGGCTAGGCAACACCGATGGCAAAAAAAAAAAAAGACAAAAAAAAAATCCTTATTTTCATATTCAAAAGGGGGAGGGGTTAAAATACAAATAAGTAAAATCTTTACTATTTCAAGTGGTAAGTGCTGTGTTGAACTATAAAGCAGGGAAAGGGAATAAAGAGTGTCAACAAGAGCTGGGATTGCATTTATAAAGGAGTGTCAACAAGAGTTGGGATTGGTCAAAAGTGAGGGAATGGGCCATGTAAGTAGCTCAGGGAACATTCTAGACAAAAGGTTTTCAGAAAAAAAGGCCTCAAGGTGGAATCATGCCTAGCATTTTGAAGAAACACCAAGATTCTTAAAAAACTCTTTTTCTTTTATCTAACACTTTTTGAGTTACTGATGATCTACTTACTAGTTGAAGTCTGGAATCTGCTCACTAAAACATAGTATCAGCAGGAGTGGTTTACTTTGGCCACATACCATGAAAGGCACTAGGAATTTTATTTTTCTTTAAGGCAAAGGAAAAAATATGGTCCTGGCTCCTGAGTCTTTTTAATTCACTGTGAGAATTATAATGGAAGTATGTACAAGGTACTTATTTATAGGAGCATTAAATCAGATTGGAGAAAGTTTCAAGCTGAATTTTGAAAGATAAGTTCCCTAGATAGAAAAGTAGTAAGCTAGAATTCTAGGCACAGACATGTAGAAAGGCATGGAGCTATGAAAAATATGCACTGCCCATAAAACTAAATTAGAAGATAGATTGCTTTTCCCTATATAAAATAGCATTCTCACAGTAATTAGTGCAGCTGCTTTTACAATTTATTAATAGAAAAAGCAGTTTAGAATGCCAAATACTAAAGACCTAGTCTTTATCTGTTCCTGTTTGAGATGTTTCTTTTATGGAATAAGATTAGTGTGGGCCAAAACATCACTGGTTTCTATTTAGTTTCTTTTTCATGTTGTGTAGCTACTTGTCTTTGCCAGCAGTAACATCATCCTGTAGTCCAACCTTTCTGTAAAGTTCTATATGCTAACACAAACCAGATAGTTTGTTTTTATATCATTCTAGGTTGGGATTAACTGAGATGTTTGGTGATATATATATTTGAAAATAAACATATATATATATTTAAATGTTTTTGTATTCTGGTTCTATTTTCTCTATAGATGCTGAAGTACCCTTTCACAATCGGAGTAGGAGCCAGTAGGAGAATAGAAATACTTTCTCTAAAGATGTGTCTCCAGCAGAACTTTTCACCTTTGTTTCTAAGGTCTTGGCCTTTCTCATCATTTCCAGTGTATATGAGCAAGACACAATACTATCATACTTCTCCATGCAGCTTTAAGCGGAAGCAAGAAGTAATTCCAGCCAGGCCACCAAAAACCATCACTTACTTGCCTGACAGCCCAAAGCCAGCATTATATGTAACTGTGGCAGGATTAATCCCCTTTGTTGCTCCACCACTGATCATGGTGATGACAAAGACTTATATCCCCATATTAGCTTTTACTCAGATGGCTTATGGAGCCAGCTTCCTATCTTTCTTGGGAGGTATCAGATGGGGTTTTGCTCTGCCAGAAGGTAGCCCAGCTAAACCAGACTTCCTCAATTTAGCTAATAGTACAGTTCCTGTTGTGTTTTCATGGTTTGCTTTCCTCATTTCTGAAAGGCTCAGTGAAGCTATAGTAACAGTAATAATAGGTTTGGGGATAGCATTACATATCGAACTTTTTCTCTTGCCACATTATCCCAATTGGTTCAAAGCCATGAGGATAGTAGTCACTTTAGTGGCCTTTTTATCATTTATAATCACTTTACTAGCTAAAGGTATTTATCTAGAGAAGGGACCTAAGAGACCTGGTCAAGTAGAATAAATATAAAATTACTCTGTAGATGATGTTAGCATGTTGGCTACAAGCCTTGTAAGATTGTTTTGCATCTCTTTTTTCTACTTCTATTGTTTAGTTCTGTTTCCCACCAATAGTAATTCTTCACATTACTTTTCATTCAAGAAATCCTTATTTCATAGGAATCATGTGATCGACAGCTTGAAAATCACTAACAAGTCCTTTTCATGTCATTAGGTTATAGTTCTCATTCAATTTTTTTGTTATGTAGACGTCCACTCAAGTATTTCAATGTTTTATTTTGAAAAATGTAAATTAAAAAAATGAAAAATCCCTTTTGCTAGAGCCTTATGATGACTGAAAACACACATTCTCCCATTTCAAGAGTAAAACTTCATATCCATGAATGTCTGGAAATAATAGGTGGTTCCAGGGTGTTTTCATTGCATTTGCCCACGGAAATTGTATTTCCAAGCTCATTTTACCTGGTATATCCTAGTTATGAGCTGAAAGAATCTGTGGCTCTAAAGTCATTTGCGAGTAGTATCACGAAGGGAATTCATGCTTAAAGAAAAGCTGGACACATTTTCCAGTTTTTATCAGGCTATTTGGTAGGGTATAGACACAACTTATCACCAAACAGAACACTAGCTGGCCAAACATATTTAAAAGAATAAAGCCACTAGTACATACAAGTTGAGAGAGAGGAGAGGTCAAGCTGGAGCCATTTGATGTTCTAATGATTGGTGCTATCTAGTTTTACATGTTAGCTCACAGAGAAGTTTTAAAACAGCAAAAGCATCACCTTGGGATTCTAACTTGAAAACCTCATCTCTTGAGATTCTTAGCCTCATAGAAAAGGAAAAAACATTTAAATAGTGTAAGAATACAAATCAGGAGATATCACCTGGTATGTGTTATCTTTGTATAAGTATTCAAATACTAAATTTCAAAAGTAAATTATATACATATGATTTCCACTCTAGTATTCTTGCTGTGGGGAGATCAGTCTGGAGTGGTAACTTGTTTACTACATGACTGTTAAGGGCTGAACTATATGTTAATTAAGTCCTAATTCCCAATATCTAAGAATTTGACCTTATTTGGAAATAGGGTCTTTACAGAACTAATAGTGTTAACATGAGGTCATAAGGAAAGACTATAATGTTAATATTACTGGTGTTCTTATAATGGGAAAATGTAGAGACCAACACACATACAGGGAGAATGCCATGTGAACATGAATATGGCTACCTTCCAATGAGAAAAGCCTGGAACAGATCCTTCCCTCTTAGCTCTCTGAAGGAACCAATTCTACCAACACCTTTAGATTTCCAGCCTCTAAAACTGTGACACAATAAATTCTGTTGTTTAAATTTCTATGGTACTTTGTCATAGCAGCCTTAGGCAAACAAACACAACACCATGGAGCTAGACTTTGTTTTGATCATTGAAAAGCTTACCAGTTAAAGTCTGTGGCTGAAACCACCACACAATCCTTTATGAATGTAGAGAATAGTTTACTAGAGCCTAATAAGGGAAAGAAAGCTCATACTCCTCAGAAGATCTTTCTCAGAAGGAAAAGCAAAATCCCAGAAAAGCAAAAATGAAAATACTTTATTAGTATATTCTTTGTAAAACAATGTCATTACCTTAGAAGTAACAAGCATATTTACAATGACCTATTTTCAGGGATCATCTGGACCTATTAAGCCCAAACATTGATTGTTTTGACATTACATTTCTGCCACAGCATTACAAAATGCCTCCCTTAACAGTGCCACTTTAGGTTGCCAGGCAATAATGAGAATTAAATAATAGGAGCATTTTGTAAATTTCTTTTGAACCAGAATGCAGATTCTTTATAACTGGAAATATTTAGGCACATGAGCTCAAATAGTCTACAAATTACTTTGACACTTCATTCGTTGACATTTTATAGATTCCAACCAGGTATCTGTGACCCTTCAGACTTTCAGAGCTTTCTGTTTGTACTACATAAGCTTTTCTTAATATAAACATATGATTAAGTTATGAAGAAAAGTATCCTTGTGGGCCAATCCAAATATTTTGGATAGGAATGCTACCTGAGGTTTACCAAAAGTTTTCTATCTAAATAAGCTACTGATACCTATAACAATATACTGAAGGACTTTAGTAAAGAAGAGGGGAAATCAGGAATATAGAAATCAAATCCTGGAATCAGCTAGGTAAACCTAAATGTATGCAAGACCTTGAATTTAAATGGCTTCAACTGACTAGCAGAAATAACTTAAAAGTCATGATCATGTATATGAAGAATCTTCCTTTCAGAACAATTCTTTAGAATACTTCTTGAGGAAAATAAGAGGTTTTGAGAAGCAGTTTTGGATGAGAAGAAGCCTTTCCATCTTATGAATCAGCATCTATAAGAAGTTTCACAAGTATCTATAATTCCACCTTCAAGGCAGGCATTAGCCTCATAGTAAGCTCATATTAAGGCTTGCCCAAGTACAAGTAAGCTTCACAAAAAAAAAAAAAAAAGCTCGATAATCTAATAAAATTCCCTCTTCCCAAAGCCAGATATTTTTGGTGACTATTTAGAAAATAGGGAAGAAGTTTACTAGGTGCATACCACTTGCTAGGCTCTATCTCCCATTACGACATCCTATTATATCCTATAAAGCACTGTCACTAAGAACCTATTAATTACTCACTTGTATTCTCAGCATCAAGACAAAAAAACCTAAGTGAGCAAAAGCTTTTTTTATGCTGTTATGAACAGGTTCAAACTTACCTCTCTATATTAATAGCTAGATATTTCCTACATGTCCCTCCCAGTATGTCTGCTGCCATTAAAAAGTTTGGGGCTAGTGAAAACTCCTAGCATTAAATAAAAGTAGGAAGTTGTTTCATTGGCTTTTCTCTGTTGGTTAAACTATGGCCATGGAAAATTCTGCTCTGGATTGAATCATGAATGTACAGACATCTTTAAACTGTCTCACTGGTATTCTTACATCACATAAGGGTCAAGTTACAGCTTGAATTGAACTGGAGAAGCCGTTATTTGCCAAGAAGCTTCTAGCAAATCATTTTTACAAATAGGATTCTTCTCCTAATTGGACAGTTCTAGAGCATAAATAGCATTTCTATTGATAAGCTTGACATTATCTTTGTGAGCTCTTTATTAATTTGCGATATATTCCATATGCCTTTTTATTTAGATTCTTAGAAAAATCAGTCTGCAGACACCTATCTACCAAATACACAGAAAACTTAAAGGAATCAGAGGATCCTATCACCAAATACATGTGTGATTTGCAAAAGGTCAGATCTGATATTTTCAAAGTCTTTCTTGTGCTCTCTTGTGGTTTATATTTCAAAGTACAGCAATACCTCCTTCACAACGACTGGTGATCATGTTACCAATTTCTGTCCATGTATCTGAATGAGGGTTATAAACTTCAACTGAGTCCAAGGTACCTGGGGCCAAGAAATCATGGCTGGAAGATCGCCCTCCAGAAACATACAAAAGCCCATTGACTGCCACAACACACATGCCTGCTCTAGGCACTTTCATTGAGGCAACTTCAACCCACTTTTCCTGGTTAAGAGAAAAAAAAGATTAGCAGTGTCACAAAATGATGAGAGAAAACTGTTGAGAAGTCAGATACTCTAGCTCTTTTTACACGTTTAAATTTCAAATCACAATCTAGTCACATTAGTATATAGAACATTTTTAAATAAACTTTTGAGTAGATGTAGACAAAGTAGTGAATTTAGAGGGAAATAATTGAAAAACATGACTGTAATTATAATTATGATCAGGAGATAATCTAGAAATTGTATATAGGCAGGCAATCTGAGAAACTAGTAGGTAATGCATATATATATATATATACACACACAACACAAACCTACAAAGCTCAAAGAAGAAAACATACAGTATGCAGAAGGGCTTTTAATAGTCTTTGAACACAGTTTAAAATCAATTTCCTTATAACTGATCAAACACTGGCCCTAATTGCTTTGGATGAAAGGGCTTTCACTTTAGATAAAACACAAGTTTTTCTTCATACCAGCAATAACCCTATAGAATATTCTAATTCCAATAGCCACACAAATATAAAATATCAATATATGTAATATAATCTTAAGACAAATTTAAGGCATGTAATCTTAAGACAAATTTAAGGTGACTGCTATAGCTTCCTTTTTAATAAGAAAACTCAATTATTTTAAAAATGTTATGTGTCTTCAAAATAACACATATAGTTGGGTAAATCTGATAACATCCCAAAAGAAACTGAGTGTGTATATGTGTGTTTTGTGTGCATGTGCATGTATTTCACAATGTGATTTTAAAGTTTATTTGGAAGAGCAATCAAGTGAGAAAAGATGTTCAAAAAAGGAAAAAAAATCTTTGAGATGCTAATAGCTTTATAAATCTCCAGAACAGTATAGCAAAAAAACACTTGCCAAATGTATTTGACCATGGAATCCTTTTTTTAAGGACCACCTAGGGGAGTTAGTGATCTGTAAAACATATTTTCAGAAAGGTAGTATACATCAGGGGTTGGAAACTATAGCCCATTTTTTATAAGCCTATAAACTAAGAATGATCTTCTAAATTCAAAAGTTATTTTTAAAAAAAGAATATGCCAAAAAAAAAAAAAAGAATATGCTAAAAAAGAGATGTGTCCTTTTAACGAAAAGTTTGCTAACTCCTGGTATACAGTGTTCCCTAAAGGAATTTCAATAAGCTGCTACAGCCAAAATGTCCTACTCCAAGGAAAATGTCTATATTCAGAAAATAAGAAAGCTAATAAAGGTCCTGGGAAATAATCACAAGAGAAAAGAGCAAATAGCCATGTTAAAAAATAAAATGAACCTAGAAATAACACATATATATGATAAACAAAATTTATAAAATTACGAAAAGTGAACAATGATTATTTATCAATGCTAGAAAGTGAACTTTTTAAAGATGAGCTTCACATCCTAGTAACGAGAATAGCACCAGTACATTATAGAGTCAATGTATGTTTGCTGATCTGAACTTAAATGAAATTCTGAAATACTAGAATCAGTGACAATGCTTTGAAATTGAAAATAATAAATTTGAAGGCTACTTGATTATCTGAAATTACAGAACATCACAAAGTTAGCATAGCTGAAAAAACATTCATATTTTAAAAGACACATATATTCACAAAAATATCTACAGAGAAATTAGGATGTTGAGGTTATGTTTATCATTAAGGGAGAACTAACCTTTGCCTCCCCAAAAAATGGCTCTTGACAAGAATAAGGGAACCATGGGGCTCATCCTCTAATGCTAAACTTTCCTTTCAATCAGTGTATTAGAACTACAGTTTTCTTTTTATCCTGAGTAGCCCCAAAATAAACTCCGTAAAACCAGAAACATGTTTTACATTATCTTTAGGATTTGGATCTATAATGTGGGACTTTAGTAGGTACTAAATAACAATAACATTTCAAATTTATGCATGAAAAACAAGATAACGCATTACTAATAGACACTTTGGGACAAAAATCTATTCATTTCCAGTCATACAGAAAAATTAGGAAGAGAAAGTGCCCTCAAAAAGTTCTTTTTCTATATTAACAAATAAAGTCATATAGAAGGTGAAAGGAATTTGAAATATCACTAAAGTTAAAAACTTGTCAGAAATGAGATACAAGTTCACACTTACTATGACATCTATAATCAAAATAATCAAAAAGATAAATAACAAGCATCGGATGTGGAGAAATTAGAACCTTTATACAGTGTTGTTGGTTATATAAAATGGTGTAGCTGCTTTGGAAAATAATCTAGCAGTCTCGAATAAGGTTAAACATAGAATTACCATATGATCCATCAATTCTACACCTAGGTAGGTATATAGATAGCCAAGAAAAAGAAAATCATATATACACACAAAAATGTCCACACACCTGTTCATAGCGCATGGTTTATAATTGCCAAAAAGTTAAAATAACTCAAATGTTTGGTGTGTGAATTATATCTCAATAAAGCTATTAACAAAAATCTTTCTACTTAATGAAGGGAAATAAAAAAAAACCAACCTTTATTTTTGATGATTTTAATAAACCATAAGCAGTTTAAGAACCACAAAATTCAAATATAACACTAATCCACATTTATGAAAATATGTTTCCTGAAATACTTTATTCCTCAGATGTTTCACAAACATCCACAAACAAATTTAATTGTGTGGTCAATTAAATTTGAGAGGCTTAGCATAAAGATTCACAAAGTATATTATTGTATTACATTGTGCAAAGAAGTCCTGTGGTAAAGAAGTTTAACTTTGTTTAACCCAACTTTCCCTAAATATAATGGGCCAGGGAAACTCATGTTACCTAATTCCCATTAAGAACACAAAATATTAGTATTCCATGTAAATTTACTTGGGAAAAAATGGTCTAACCGGCAAGTCCATGGCATAATACACCTTGTACTTCATTATCCCAGGACCTAACAAATTGTAATGCAATTGTTTGTTTCTTTCTCTATATTCCCCAATAGAATTTAGGCTCCTTGAGAGCTGGGCCTTGTATGTTTAGTTTGCTTTTAGTTCCCCAGGCATAATGCCTAATCCATACTTACATACTAAAAAGTCTATAAGTATTTCTGAATGAATAAATAGACTAATGAACAAATGCATGACAGAACAGTGACTCAATGAAGATATAATCTACCTTTCTTGATCTTTTTCTTCTCTTCTTTTCCTACCATAACTGAATCAACCCAGTAACTGAGGGACTGAGAGAACATTGTGGAGTCATATGTGCAGTGACAGGATAGGTAATGTGCAGAGGTGGCAGGTAGAGAAGACAGCTGGTATGACAGGGAGATTTGTTTCATTTAACAAGTAAATAGAATGCACAAATAAATAAATATTAAGAATAATGGGAGCCAAGTTTTTAACAGACAGAGAAGGTACTTACAAACATGCAAAGAGAGAAGGCATGAAAGAATCTGAAATTTTCTGGAAAGGCTCAGGAAGACATGAACAATAATCAACTTGACCTAACTGATATTTATATAACACTACACTCAACAACAGCATTATTAAAATTCTTTTCAGGTGTACATGAACTATCTACCAAGATAGAAATCAAAGTATGCTCTTTGATCACAATGGATTTAAATTAGAAATAAATAATACAAAAATATCTGGAAAATCCCCAAATATTTGGAAATTACATAACATACTTTTAACAACCTACTGGTCAAAGAAGAAATTACCAGGGAAAAATTAAAAGATATTTTGAGATAAATGCTAATTAAAACAAAACATATCAAAATGTACAGGAAGGATATAGTTAAAGAAGTTCTTGAAAACAATTTATAACTTTAAGGGTTTACATTATAGAAAAAGGTCTAAAATCAATCATTTAAGCTTCCACTTTAAGAATCTAGAAAAAGAAGAGCAAATTAAACCCAAAACAAATAGAAGGGAAAAAAATAGGAACAGAAATGAATGAAATAGAAGATGAGTAATCAGTAGAAAAAAATCAATGACATCAAAAGTTAGTTCTTTGAAAAGAGAAAAAAAACCTACAAACGATCAATATCATGAATGAAAGAACACATATCACTACAGATCTTACAGACATTAAAAGGATAACAGGACACTAAACATTTGAAATCATCCAACCTACCTCTTCAAAAGAATATTTTTCTACAGTATGAAGAGCATCTTGTGTCTCATTCCACCCTCCAATAGAATATATGCAGTCATTGAGGGCAGCCACCCCAAGATATGCTCTCCTGGTTCCCATTGGAGGTAGTGGAGACCAACGCTTGGAAAGTGGATCATAAACTTCAAAAGAACGAAGCTCTATTCCTTCATTGCTGATGCCCCCAATTACATAAATTAAACCTGAAAATGGAATATTTTTGCTTAGATGCAATAGAAAATTGGATGTAAATAATTATATCAAAGGTAATAGTTGTGATTTCAGTTTGCCATGCTGGTGCTCTATTTAATGTTGGGCTTATATTCTTTGAGAGAAATTGACTTCTGTCTAGTTTATCGCAGCTCACATTTAAGCATATTACAAAGAATTAGGGGTATAACTTAAAGTGGCATTGACTTTTCAAATAACTTAATGATGTTATAACAAAACAATTTTTCAGATAAAGATTTCCCATCTTATTGTCTGCCTGATGATCTTAAGTTCCAGATCCACTGTTACCATGTCTAGGTAAAAAAGGGAGAGAGATTTTTTTTCCCCTCTAAAAAATGTCATGGCCCTGTTTGGTGACAGCCTTTGTTCAGATGGGCATAAAAAAGAGAATTACATTTAAATTAGAAGAGTTATATGGCTAGATTAAAGTATCAGGATCACTCACTAGAGTACATACAGTAGGATGTAATTCAGAGAGTTCTGTTTTAAATTTGATTGAAACTAATGGTTCTGACAATCTACAATTATTTTTGAGTCTCTAGCGTTGTTTCCCATGTTCTAAAGTGAGTAGTTATAAATTATGAAGAATGGAATTTTAAGAAATATGAATTAAATGTTAGTAAACTTGGGGTCTAGCTCCAGCTTTGCCAGTAACCAGCTATGAAAAAAGATATCTCACAACCTTCCAAATCTTCAGCTTCCTCATTTATAAATAAAGGGGTTGTAACAGATAATCTCCAAAATGCCTCTCTAGCTCTATGATTTTAGATGTGAATAATAAAAAACTAGAGAACTTTATAATAGTAAACAATAGAATATGTCTATATCATGTAATTTGAACATTTAAATGCTAGTGGAAATCTGAGAAGGTACAAAGCAGAACCTGAGCTGAGAACAAAGCAGGATGAGTTGTCATACAACAATGAGCAGACTGCTTCCTACTCTGCAGGTACATATAAATCTGCTCTCCAGTTCTGGACAGAGAATCAGGTTTTATTTGACAGTGCTTACTACCTCCCTCTCCTGTAGTACACAATTAAAATAGTGTCTGTAAACCATTTAAATATGCAGTACATTTTTCAAATCTATCATAGCATTACATTCTGTGTGGACTGTAAAAAAAACACTGAAGCCAAGAAAAGACTGAAGATTGTTTTTGATATTCAATCCCTACCTAGAAATACTTACTAAGGCCTGCTTATTTTCCTAGTCAGGTATTTTTGCTTATCTGGAATTTTTAATTCTAGCTTTATTTTGGAAAAAAAAATTGATTATTTTGGCAATACAGAAATAAAGAAATAAGAGGTTAAAAAACATAAGAAGTTAGAAGCAGAACTTCCATACTGTTAGTGTTTAATCATTCAATATTAACAGACATAAAATATACTTTTGTGAAAATGAAGCCTCAAGCTCAGTTTTTTAAGAAGTATATTTTCAGAAAAAATATTTTATAAAGTAATTACCTTGCATTTCACAACACCCAAAGTAGTAGCGTGACACAGCCATGTTGCCAACTACTTCCCATTTATTTTCATCAGGATCAAATCGTTCAATGGTGTTCCCTATCTCAGCTCCAATCCACCCACCTGTAACCAAATAAAAAATTTATGTTTGGGATAAAGGAATCTTATTTATGACAAACACTTTACAAAATATCTAATCCGACAACTTCATATTATGGATGATTACCACATGGAACAGAGAGATTATTTGTTCAAGATCACATGAAAAGTTAGAATTTGTTATCAGAACTCAGATCTTTTAACTCTGCCTGGTTTCACTAGAGATTTAAAACAAAACAAAAACAAAAACTTCAGCATACTGCATAGGAAATATGGTATTTTTCAAAACTACCTTTGAAACAACTTCTGCATATTCAGAATGGCTATCTTTTTCCCCCCTCCCCAGAATGGTTATCTTAATCTTAGCTAAAGTGCTTCATTGGACATTCATCTATATTTCATCTCCATCTCATTCTAAGCACTTCACACTTTCAAGTAATAATATTTTGATAAGAATACATAAAGCTAAAAGGGTACAAGTTTCCTATGGGAGGAGAAGAAATTTCTGAAGTAATCAGGAACTAAGAATTTAAATAATACTAGATATCCTTAAATTGAACAGCATCATTACCCAAAGCATAGATAGCTCCATAACACACACATACTCCCAAGCCACAGCGGGGGTGATTCATTGAAGCTACAGTTGTCCACTGTTTAGTAACTGGATCATAGCATTCAGTACAATCAAAAATCATGGAATCCTTTTCACCTGAGTTAAATAAAAGAGACACATGAGAAGGTTTGGTAATGCTAATAGCCTAGAACCATGATACAATATTAAGTAGCATTCCACAGTGTCGGAAATTCAACTATTATGTCTGACTTTATACTATTCATTAAAATTTATATGTCCAGCAAGTATTATTTTGAATCTGTAGCACTGTCATTTATTAAAGCCCATTTAATGAAGCAATGATACAATTTTCCTATTATCTATTTCTAATTCTACCATCCAAACAATCCATGTACTTTTTGAGGATATGATTTGCATTTTAAAACTTATATAATTTAAGTTTTTAATGCAATCCTTATCTAGCAAAAAACAAAATAAAAATAATTTAAAGATATCACTTAAAACAGAATTTTAAAATATACTATACCTAGGAATAAATCTAAACAAAGATTGTATAAGACCTCCATTGTTAAAATTTACAAACTTTATCTAGGTAAAATTTTAAATTAAGGAATAGCTAAATGAATGAAGAGATGTATCACATTCATGAATTAGAAGAGTCAACTGATTTAGATATAATATCCCAATTTTTAAAAACTCTTTTTTTGTGTTAAAATGTACATAACATAAAATTTATTACCTTAACCATTTTTTTTTAGGTGAGGCAACCCTTGGTTGACCTCACAGATTACAAGGACCTTGTCAGTTTACAATCTCTTATTTTTTAAGCTTACAGCACCTGGTCTTCCTAGGTGGTCTCCTATCCAAGTACTAACCAGGCCCGACCTTTCTTAACTTCTGAGATCAGATGGGATCGGGCTTGTTCAGGCCCGATCGGGCTTGTTCATGGCCATAGATTATCTTAACTGTTTTTAAGTGTACAGTTCAGTGATGTTAAAAACATTCGCACTGTTGTGAAGCCATCACAATCATCTATCTCCATAATTCTTCTCATATTGTCAAACTGAAACTCTATATTAAACAGTAATTTCCCATTCTCCCCTCCACCAGCCTCTGGCAATCATTATACTTTCTGTCTTTATGACTGTGACTACTCTAAGTACTTCATATAACAGGAACCATACAGTATTTTTAAAAACAAATTTGACAAACTGATTCTAAAATTTATAGGAAATACAAAGGGCTTAGAATAGCCAAGCACTCCCAGAACAGAAGGAGAAACTACCCTATCAAATAAGCTTATCAGACTTAAAATTAAAGCTATAGTAATTAAGAAAGGATAGACAAAGAGACCAGTGGAACAGAAAAGAATCTAGAAACAGATTCATGCATGTATGATTACTTGACATATGACAGAGTTTGACTGCAGAGCAGTGGGGAAACAATTCTTTTATGCTGGGAAATATTGGTATTATAAGTAAGCATTTATTTCTCTTTAGATACTTCTCTGATAATTATTTTCCTCCAACATTTAAACCTCCTTTAATTTTATTCATTAATTATTTTATAATTCATAATTGTTTTAAAAAAGATTTCAATCATGAAATATATCCCAATGTCTAAATGACTTTTTTATATATCCTACTCTCCAGATAACTTCATTAAGTAAAAATGATTCGCAATGCAGCTTTCAAAATTTTTTAAATTATATCATAAATGTTGACCTAAATTCTGGTGCCACATTTTACAAACAACTTTTCGTTAAAACCAAACCTAAGTATTCTGCCTTATGATTCAACATCTTGTGTGTCCTTTTTCTTTCTTTCATTTATTCATTCAATAAATATATACTGAGCACAATTATATCTACATATATTCCATAGTACCTAGCAATATATAAGGCATATAAGGCAGCCAACTTATAGCTAAAGACTAACAAGGGAAATAAGTTGTTTTCATTATTACCTCCAATAGCATAGACCATCCCTCCTAGAACTGCTACTCCTAGCCCGCATCGAGCCTGATGAAGTGAAGACACAGTGGTCCAGTACTGGCTAAAGGTGTCAAAGCGTTCTACACAGCTGAGGGCTCTGCTATCACTCCAACGACCTCCCTGTAACCGAGTATATCCACCTGAACAAAGGAAGAAAAGGAGGAACACAACAAATTCCCTATTGCTAAACATGGGATGGTAGTAAGGAGAAAATCTGGCTCTCTACATCTAGACATTCAGTATAACTATTTCATAGCAAGGAATAAATGCTTTAGAGCCTGCCATATATGTGTATTTTTTTTTAAATGTGACAAGTCCTGAAAGATTATGGCTTAAATGCAATGAGTTAACCATAGTGTTCTACTACCTGGTCTTGGTTATAATAGAATATTGGATAAAACATAAATCAAGGAGCTGGTTGTTAGGAAGTTTCATTATGACTTCTATTAGTGTCTGTTGCAATTAAAAATAGTGAGTTGAAATTCTAGTTTGCACATCCCATCATTAAAAAAAGTTTAGCATGTACTCAAAAATTACATAATAGATCATAGCATATATAAAATTATGTATATAATTATATAAATATTATAAATTACATAGCAAGTATTTTTATTTATTTTATATTTATTTATTCTTTTACTTATAATATTTTAATTTTTAAAAAAATTTATTTATTTTAAGAGTGACATTGACTAACGAAATCCAATAAGTTTTAGCTGTACACTTTAATAGCAAGGCATATATATATATATTTACACTGTGTGTTCACCTCCCATAATTAGATTTCTTTCTGTCACCACATATTTGACCCCCTTTACCTCATTTACCTCCCCTCTCCCCCCACCCTCTGGTAACCACTAGTCTATAGTCCATGTCCATGAGTCTATTTTTTTTATTTTTTAAAAATTTTCAATTACAGTTGATAGTCAATATTATTTTATAAAAAGTATTTATATATAAATTATGTTATGTATATAAACCTGGGCAATCTGTCATATATATCAAACACTGATATGGTTTAATGCTTTTAAAAATAAAAATGAAAAGAAGTTTTAATATGTTGATCTGATACAGCCATAGATTACTGCGCACATCCCCACTTTGGGGACCACTGGTTCCTAATATCTATAATGACCACCTAAGAAACTGTAAATAATTAAAATTTTTGAGGTTGACTTTATTTTTCATTATAATTCAAATTTTCAACTTTTAAAGCCGTATTTCTTTAGTCAGCTATTGATAATAATTGGGTAATCTAAGAACTCAAAGACTTAGATCACAGAATAGATGTCAAGTGAGTAGCAATGTGTCTACTGTATTATATAAACACAATTTATAAATCTGTAGCCTGTATGTGAAATTAAATGTCTATTTGATGCACCTGAATATTCTGACATGTATAATAATAAAATATTAAAAGGTTTGATTCTGAAAATAAAGATAATTTCTATTACTTTTTAAAAGGTTCTCACCTACTGCATACAGGTACTTTCTTGCTTTCTTCCGAGGTCGGACCTTAGATGTTTGCAGAAAACTACAAAACTTGTTCTCTTTGGGAGATTTGCACACCTCACAGTACTCTTTCAAAAGTGTTTGCAATGCAACACGAAGATTAAAATCAGATACTCCTAAAGCAATGTTTAAAAAGATTACATTTTAATCAACTTTTAAATAACATTGAAAAGACATGTTTCCACAAAGTAAAAGCCCATTTAACAATCACAAAGTAAAAACTTATCATCAAACAATGGTGTTTGTTTCCTACAATATCCAATATTATTTTTCTCATTGCTGATAAAGATATATTTTCCTTCAATCGAGGGTATATTTCCTAAAAAGATTCTGAGCATGATTGGGTAGGTTATTCCTGCTCAAGGCTGCTTAGCTGAGGAGGTGAATTGGGAATGAAAGTCAACATGTGTCCTACCTGGCAAACTCTAAGACCTGGATCCCCTAAGAAAAGCACTATTTTCTAATTTGCACAAAAGTACCATATATGCTAGCACGGGACTGTCTCCAGGCCTTGTACCCACATCCCAAAGGCAATATTGAGGAAAGCAGGTCAACTAACAAAATCACGAAAATTCTCATTACTTTCCTATATAAATTGTCCATCTTTTCTTTAATAAGATCAAAAAGAAGAAACATTCAAAATTGAAAAATATTAAGGTTCCCTTTAAAAAAATCTTCCATTAGTTCTCTCTTGACTCTTTGCAGGTTTAGTTCAGTGAAATACCTTTAGGTGATAACTATCTGGCATGCTTAATAAGCAGTGCAAGACTGGAATACTATAATACTAAAAGCTGTAGGAAAATATGCCCTGATTCCAGGAAACCTTCCCTTGTTCCTAGCAGAGGAACTTTCCTTTAGTATTCTGTTTCTGTGGCACTTGGGAAAAACCAATTCAACCATTAAAGCTTTTGTCCCACTCCTAAATTCTCACGATTCATACAAAAATATGTCTGGATAATTTCTCTTCTTGTTCTAGCATTTAAATACAGTCAGTCTTCATTATTTGTGGATCCCTTACTTGTGAGCACATCTACTCACCAAAATGTATTTGTAACCCAAATGAATACTTATGGTGCTTTCCAGTCATTCATGAACATGCCACAGAGTGGCAAAAAATCTGCATCATCCTGACAAGCATGTTCTCCAGCAAGACCAAACAAGGTGATGCTCTGCCTTCCTATTTCAGCTCTCATACTGTAAACAAGTGTCCTTTTCACAGTCTAGTTAGTGCCATGTTTTTCACTTTTTTTTTGGTGATTTCACTGTTTAAAATGACCTCCAAGTACACTGCCGAAGTGCTGTATACTATGTCAAGTATAGTATGTAGGTGCTCTATACTAAGTGAAGTATACTATGAGGTGTTCATAAGTGCACGAAGGCACTTATGATGTGATGTTAGGCTTCATTCAGGCATGAGTTATTATACTATTGGCCATGAGGTCAATGTTAATGAATCGATGTTAATGAATATATTAAATAAGGTGTTTTGACAGAAACACACAAAAAAACAAGGTTTGCATTGATCAAATTAGAAAAATGTCTTGACCAAAGGGTTCTAAGAACTTACCCCATGTTTCTCTTATGAACAATGGCTTAGTATTTGCCAATTTGGTGTTCATGGTAACTTTATAGACCATAACTACTGTGAACATCAAGAATTGACTATATATGCATTTAAACTCAGAAAAACCTACAAAATTCTGTTAACACTATTAAATTACAGTGGAGAAAAACCAAACAGCCTCATTAAATACAATTCCTTCACAGAATTATACCTTTAATGCTAACAGTATATTTAATTCATAAGAAGATCATTTCTAAGTCAGCCGTATCCTAAAGTTTCAGTGTATGACAAGAAAACAAGCTTCAAATCTTGAAACTAGGTCTAAAGTAGTTTTTAAAAATAAATTTAAATATTATTATTTTCTAATAAAAAGATATAAACTATTTTATACTATGGTGAAAAGTATTTTCAAAGTTTAGAATTTAAAGATGATTCAAAGGCTACTTAGGAGCTATGATATTACATCAATAGAAAATTTATAATGAGAGCACTTGCAGGATTTACTGAGTTTTGGTTTTGTTTTTAGCATATGCATTTTCCTCAAATGTTAGGTTTTGCTGACTTTTTCAGAGTGATAAGAAATTTTACACTGAAATAATTAGTACTGCCAGAAACAGCAGTATTTTAGTTCTGTCACTAATTTTATCTAAAACTTTCATCTGTTAGTATTTAATCTCAAAAAAGGTACATAAGGATTTGATTAAAATTAAAGGGTAGAAGTACTGAACTACTACTGTCTACTCACAAAACATAAAAAGTCTGTATCTTGCATATAGTCATTGTTCAATAAATGTCTGCTATTGAATTGAAAAATAAAAACACTATCACATTTTAAACAGAAAAAAAGCCACTGGATAATTGACTAATTTGATATGCAACAAAAAAATTACCTTCTATATACTTTAAAAGCCTCTGAGGAGGTAATAAAGGGAATCGAATTGGGTCTAGTACTTCCACCACATGTTTTCTTCTTTTTCCCAGATCTTTGAGAATCCATTGCATTGCAGCTAAGAAGACTTGGTATTCATCCTCAATGCTAAGCTCTTCACTTCGTAAAATTTTGATCAGCTGATCTCTTGTAAGGGCCAGGAACTCTTCCCCACTCTGAACTTCCAAGAAATGGACATGAATGTAGTTTTCTGTGAATTCCAAAAGATCATGACAGGCAATTTGCTCAGAGAACTGAAAGATCCCAATGCAGTTCAGTGGATCAATTTGTCCTTTCAGAAATTCACAGCAAAGATTAACAACTTCAGTCAACTGTAGCATGTCTGCTGCAACAATCAACTCCTGAACATTATTCACAGCTATGTTCACTATACCTAAGGAAATAGGGCGACAGAATAACCAGAAAATTAAAAACAAACATTGACTTATTCTCAAAAAGCATTATACTTGATTCCACCGATAGCTAAGTAAAAAGGCAACAAACAATTTGTACAAAGAGCACAAAACTTTAATGATGATACCTAACATTTATGGAACACTTACAATGAACCATAGCAGTAATTGCTTTATACATTTGTTTAACCCTGACTACAACCCCATTAGTATGTTTTTCCCCCCTTATTTTTGTATTAAGAAAACAGAATCAGAAAGTTTAAGTAACTTGCCTCCAAGTTACATGGTTAAGTGAGTTGAGGGTAGGGACTGACATCAAAGTCCATACTTTTAACATAAGGCTATTTGCATCTAACAAACATTTACTTAGGCACTTGGGAGGGTGAGACAGAGTCCCTATCTTTAATTATGATAATCAAGTGCCACACAGATGTTAATTTTAATATTAGGTATAAACCAAGAGTCTATAATATATGAAGAGTCATTAAATACTTAACATTTAAGAAATTATATATACTATTCTCTTTCCAGAGGGCTTCGATTTCACATATTTATAGAATGACTTTGAGAGGACATCGAATAGTCAATTACATTTAGAAGGAAAAAAATTGTAATTCTTCTACCTAATAAGGATAAATTCTCCACTCAGTCTTACTTTCTCTTTATCATTTTAACAACATTCACTCCACTAAACTATTTGTCTAAAGTTTGTATTCCCAATTAGATTTATAAAGTCTGTTGGAGCAAGGCTTGTCCCTTCTGTATTCTCAATGCCTAGCCTAGACTAGGTGCTCAAAAGTTTTATCTTAAATGAATGATTGGCCAAAGATATTATGGTGAGAGGAAGAATATGGCTTGTTGAATGCAAACAGGGAGTTTTCTTAAAGTATAAGAAATAGAATCCACAATAGCAGTGGATTCAAAGAAAACTGAGATAAAACTGACTTGAATGAGAATTCACCACAAACTTGGAGAAGATAAGATCATGGGTGGTGATCTAAGGGCATTGAATGACTGACTGCTACCAGATAAAGCCAAGAATTACTTGATAGTAATAAAAAGAATTCCCTCTGGCTTAATAAGGCTTTATAGATTACAAAAAGTACTTTTACATTTATTAAAATTTATTTCATTTAACCTCACATAAATTATAAAGTGCTACTATCCCCACTGTACCACCAGGAAAATGAGGCTCTCACGAGTTCATTTCTATTTTGTAAAATACCTAATCTGCATTACTATAAAATTCTGTGAAGGCAGAGGTCATGCTTGTCTTGTTTACCTCAGATCCCTAGTACCTAGTTCAAAAATCATATTCATAAATATCTGTTGAAAGAATGAATAATTGACTAAAGTTAAATGAAATGCCTTGTATCACATAATTAGTGGCAGAGCTAGATCAAAAACCCAGGTCATCTGATTCAAAGTGAAGTGAATAAAAATCTGAGGTGTGAAATATGTTAAAATCTATTAGAATTGTGAATTGTTAACAGAATGTATAGCCAAGTCCAAAGGAGAGATCAACAGAGTAACAGGTTTTGCTGCCTCCACATCCCTCAAAGGAGAAATGCTATTACAATGAAAATCAAAGAACATGTTTTTTAAGAACTAATTGTATCAAAGACTACAAAATTCTCTCTCCAATAAATATCCAATATTCACTTTCAAATCCTTACTAACAGAACTTTGATTTTGCTTTGGGTGGCAATTTTGCTCTACAGAAAATTACATTTCTTAGCCTCCCTTGCAGATAGGGGCGAATTTTTGAGTTTGGCGAATCGGATATACACAGCAGTTACTGGGTAGGGCTACCAGAAAAGTTTAAAAAGTAGACTCTGCTAGCAGGCCCATCTTCCTTCCACTGGCTGGAGTTTGGTAATCATGATATTAAAACCTACAAACTATAGATCCTGAAGCAAAATGTTGGAAGAATAATGGGACGATAATGACATCATGAAGTCACCATACCAGCCCTGGAATGCCTACTATGGATTAATTTTGTGGAAAAACAAACTTTTAATATCTTTTACGAGGAGCCAAATGCTGTTCTTAACTGTTATACCAATTTTAGCCTTAAATATCAATATTCTACATGTTATTTTCCCCTGATACGCTCAGTAGCTTTTATGTCTCTGGGTTTTACCACTTTTTATTTCTTTAACGGAAGTGCCAAGCAATATGGTACTGATGTCATGAATATTCTGTCACTAAATATCTTTTCTTGTTACTGTCAGACAGCGGAGGCAGAATACACAACTTGTGGCATTTCTTGTTTTTATGTAGTTCAAACACTAATTCCATTGGATTAATCTGTGTAAATTTCTACTTTGCAAATAAGAGAAGCAGGGGTATTTATGAAGCAGTTTTCAGCTCACACAAGTCATTTAGAAAAGTGAGATCAAGAACCCCTCAATGTTAATTTGTGCATTAGCCAATAGGCAGAGCTGCATTGCTTTCAGTAGACATTTTTACATCCCAAAATTAAGTAAGCTATTGTCTGAAAATTTCCAAAAGAGAATATTATATAACACAAAGAAAAATCACCTTTTGTCATTTTCTAGGTTTAAATACCATTCATTAAATAAACACTTTTTCAGGCCACATAATTATCTCCCACCTAGTAGTCCTTTAAGGAGAGCATGGTGTGTTATCCAAACTAGACCAATCAAACATGGTTTTTGTTTTCAAACATTTTTTTCCTGATTATAAGACTAATATGTATTCACTACAGAAAAAAAAACTTTAAGGCAGAAAAATATAAAAATTAATATGAAAATCACACATTTTCCCATACATATACACTGTATTAACACTTTAGTATATTTCTTTGTTTTTTCATGTATATTTATGTTACATATAAGACATACCTCACATATAATTTTGTGTGTATTTTCTGTTATTAAAACTCTTCAAAAACATTTTAAAAATAAAAGTTCTGATTAAAATAACACATGTTGATTATAAACATTTTGATGGAAAAACAGGAAAAAAGGGAAAAATAAGACTTTTCCATCATCTAAAGGTAAACACCAACATTCTGGTCTTTGTGCACAAATACAAACAAATGATTTTTTTAAAACAAAATTGGGGTGATATTTATCCAGATTTTCTTCATTTAATATATTGTAAACATTCTTCCATGATAGTATATATTTAAATGAATTGAGATTTAAAAAATATTCCATTATATATACATGTACCATAATTATACGACCTGTTGAGACAATTATATTCAATTATATAGTATTATAAATAATGTTACAATAAACATTTGGTACAGAAATATTTGCCTGTATCACTAATTAATTCCTTAGGATTCCTAGAAAATAAACATGGGGTCAAAAGATATGAACTTTTCAGACTCATAATAACATACTGTCAAATTACTTTCCATGTAAGTTAGATTAATTTATGTCCCTATGAGAGATTGCATCATTCTTCACTCAAATCTACAGGCTCACTTAACATACCTGTGTAAATGAAATCTAGAAGTATTCGAAATATTCCAGCTTCAATTCCTAGAATCTGTACAACATCTTTTGAGGACTCTTTCATTCCTCCAGTGAACAAAGCTGCAAAGTAAGGACTACTAGCAGCCAAAACCAGCCGGTGAACTTTAAAACTTTCCTTTTCAACTTGCAGCTGCACATCACAGAAATGCTGTCCATTCCTCATTTTACTGATCTGGGCCAAGATGAGTTGGGCATGTTTATCTGATGAAAAAGGACTATCACCAGCCTTGGGACAACCCTCATTAGCCATGATAATGATAAATTAATTAAAAGGGCTGTTGCCCATTAATCTGGTCCCACCCTGAAAAACAAAATATAGAGACCAAACAACATATTTTTGTGTTTAACATGTCTTTTCATACACATATGAAACGTTCCTTATCTTCAAGGAGCTTCCGATCTACTTAAGTACATAAAACACACAGGAAGCAAATAAGGACTAAACTGGGTGGTACTGTTCGTAATAGGGTTTCAGAGAAGAGAATAAGTAATGAGGCCTAAAATAATTGGAGGACACTTCACAGCAGAAATGGGACCCGAAGTGGATATTGAAAGATAGAAAGAATTAAGGTATGAGGAGAGGGTATTAGCCCATCTTGGTGGAGTAAAGAAAAGAAGGCAAGGCACAAAGGCAGAAAGAAGTTTTTGTACAGTAAGGAAGAACACATTGCAGCCAGAATGAACTTTCAAAAAGCATCAAGGCATCTGTCTGTTTAAAATCTTTCAATTTGCACACCCCTTAGCACACAAAGCCCTTCAAATCTTACCTCTGTTCACCTATCCAGTCCTATCTCCCATATTCCTCTTTGAACTTAATACTCCGACAAAACCTAACAATTTGCAGTTTTCTTAAAGTGACTCTTTCATGGCACTCTTATCCACCCTTTCCTTCTGCATCATTGTTTTAATTCAAGACACTGTTCAAATATAATTTCCTTCAGGAACCTGTCCCTATTCCTTTCTTTTCTGGGTTTGGCGCTCACCTTAAGCTTACCTATTTTACAGCCTATATCACACTCTGTCTTGTCACTCTATCACTCTACTCCCTACACACACACACACACAAACACACCTTGAAAGACAGATCCTTAAGGGCGGGACTAACTTTCATAGCTATAGCACAAGAATCTAACATATATTACATTTTCAAATGTTTATAAAATAAATGAGTACAATAAGAAATAACAGTAATAGCTTGTTTTTAACTTTGATAGCTTTTCCATACATTAAGCCAACTGTAATTCTCACATATTATTTGAAATGAGAGACAAGGAAACAAGATCAAAGATTCCCAAAGATAAAGTGTTAGTATGAGAGTCTTGGTATTTGAATCCAGGTCTTCTTACTCTAAATGGGCTTTTCCCACTATATCATATGCATAGGAATTATTACACCAGGTTCTAGAGAGGGCTTTGACCCAAGCACAGAAATTTGGACCTGAGCTTTTACAGGTTCATCAAAAGTAAACGTGGCATAGTCATGTTTCAGCATTGTTATTTGAGCCTTCAGGGGGATGAGCTAAAGGTAGCAAAGTCCTAAAAACAGCCTTACAGTTTCAACAATGAGAATCAGAAGGATAAATCCAAGTTACTATTGAATAAAGAAACCATAAATTCAGTTATTTAAGAGATATGGAGATGATGCACAGGGGGAATCTAAGATGACTAAAATTTTGTAATTTAGTCATCAAGGAGAATTGGTAATAAGACTGACAGAAATGGTGTGGTCTGGTGTTAGAAAAACGTGATTAAGTTTATAGCATTCAGTCAAACTTAAACCGTAAAAATAACTAAGCTGATTATCATGATTAACTTGAGAAATTTGATTGAGAAGTTCCAAGGTGGCTGCTAAAACTTCACATTAGCATCTACAGAATGTTACATTTAACTGGCATGTAAAAGCAAACTGTATTTGTCTCTACACAGAAATTTGACCTGCAGATATCATTAAACATGACCTGGCTATCAAACTTTTTTTTATTTTATATTTCTTCCTGTTGGCAGATTTTGGACCCCAGTGGTTTAATTATAAGTTACCTCCTCTGTCCCTAACCTTAAGGTATAAAGCACAGCCACTGGGCTAAAATACTGCCTCCTACTACAAAAGAGTTCACTGAATATCCATCCACTCTAGGGGCAGAGAACAGAAATCCTAATTTGTTACCACGCTTCTTAATAACTGCTGATATCACACTGCCAGTGGTTTACTTCATTCCAAAAGGCGGCACATGGAGTGACGGTATTTCTAAAGGGAAAAAGCATAATTACGGGACATTGCACAGGGATGTAAAAGACGTGCCTCAAGAGACACAAACTTTAAAGACATTATTAGGAAACGGTGGAGACTTCAAAGGAAAGTAAAAAAAAAAACAACAAAAAACCCTGTTTGGTGGCCTTTAGCATTTGGAAACTGTTTGGTCAGAAAGAATCCCAGGACGAGAGCGTCTCAAAAAAAAACCCAAAAAACAAAAAACAACCCGATGCTCTTTGTGCTTGAATTGGGGCTGGACCTGGAGTTACCCCTATGCTGCTGCGACACTGACGGCGGATAAACATTAAGGCGCTACCAATTGGCGGGGAAGGAATCTCAGACAGGTTTGGGGTCAGCTGACTAGCCGGGGTCTGGGCCTTCGGATTCTCCAGTGGGGACGGGGAGCGGACCGGACCGGACGAAGCTCCGGAGAGGGCGAAAACAATTCGACTAGCAGCGCACGCCTGAGCGGCAGAAGGAACCTGGTTCCAGAGGCTCCTCTCCCCTCCTCAGGGGTCCTGAGAGCCGGTGGAAGCCGGAGGAAATTCCCAACCCGTCACAGACGCACCCCGGACGCAGGCCCTTCTTACCCGCCGCTTCCCCTTCCCGCCGGCGCCCGCTCAGGCTCTGCGCGGGTAGTCGCGACCCGCACCGGCGCGAAGAAGGCGCGGGAAACCTGGCGGGGTTGACAAGGCGGGAATGACCGAGCAGCGGGGTCAGCGGAGGGCTGGAGGCGAGGCCGGGCCTACCCAAGGGTGCCTCTGGGGCGGGCCGGTCTGCGCGTGCGCAGTGCTTTTCCGCTGTGGGGTAGCGGACGCTCTCAGAGCGACACTGCTGCCGCCCCCGGGTAATGCTTGTTTCCCTCCCGCGAACCGCCTGGCAGCAAGACCGAGCTTCTGGCTGTAGGCGATTGGCCCGCTCGCTTCCACTACCGTCGCTCTCTGCGTTCTTGCAGCGTCCCGGGCAGCCAGCGAACCTCAGTGTCAAGGAAAGACAGAGACGAACACCTGGTCAGGTGCTTCTAGTCTTTTTTTTCAATTTTTTTTTTTAAAAATTCAGATGTAATGGACATATAACATTGTATTAGTTTCAGGTGTACAACATGATAATTTCATATTTGTAGCCTTTCTCTATTCTTTACCATTCACTGAAATGTTTTCTGAGTCTCTGCCTGACTGGGTCGGGCACTGTGAATGGATGTCTACTTTGAGGAAAGGGAGAAAGCAAAAACGGGCAGTTCTTTTCACTGTAGAACCTCAATCCTGTCACGTTAGTGGCTTTGAAACTTTTTGACCCCAGCCCACAGTGAACAAAAACATTCTACATCAAAGCCAATAATACCATGTATGTGTGTATATAGATGAATATACTTGAAACAAAAGCTTCACAAAATGGTTTCTACTTACTAAATTACACTAAATTTCTATTTCTTTTTTTCGATTTCATTACCAGAAAATGCAAAAAGGGACCCACTGTCAGAAAGAATTGTCGAAGACTTGGAAATGACTGAAAGAGGGTAACTGGATGCCCTCTCAGTGTAAGGCTAGACGTTGTCTAGCAGATTCTGGAAAGATTTGAATCCATAGGGACCTCTGACTTCCTATTGACTAAGCTACTTTATGAGAAATTGGTATTAAAAATAATTCTTGTCCACGCTGTAGAAGATACTTCAAAACATTACATTATATTGATCTAGAGGATATTAAACCACTTCTGCCTCTCTCAGCAAATTCATTTCAACATTCCTGATTTTTTTTTGCAAATTTGTACAACATTCTTGTAACATTTTCTGGCTTTCTCATTAATAAGATAAATAACATTTTGACATGTTTATTTTATATTTCTATGAGAGTCATGATTTTACCTTTCAGAAAATTATACTTCAGCACCACTAAAATTGATTTTACAATTTACTATTGAATTGCACCCAACAATCTGAAAACTAGTGCTAGAGTATATACATAGGAGCAGAATTACCGGAACATACTGTATGTGCATCTTCAATTTTACTAGAAAGTACCTCTTTTCCAAACTCTTTGTTCTAGTTTATATTCCCACCAGCAGTGAATGAGCGTTCCCTTGTTCCACGTCTTTGCCAACACTTAATATCACCAGATGTTTTAATTTTCTATAAGTGGTGAGCATAAAATAGTATTTCATTTTTTAAATAATTTACATTCCTGATTATTAATGAGATCAGACAGTAAAAAGATGTTTATAAGTTGCTACGGATTGAATCGTGTCCCCCAAAAATTTGTATGTTGAAGCCCTAACTCCTGGTGCGATGGTGTTTGGAATTGGGGAGGTAATTAGATTTAGATGAATTAATAAGGATGGGGCCTTTATGATGGGATTAGTGCCCTTATAAGAAGAAACCTCTGAGAGCTTGCTCTCTCCGCCCTCCTCCCCTTCTCTCTTTTCTGCTTCCTCTCTCCCTGTCCCCCACCATGCCCACAAAGAAGAGGTCATGTGAGCACACAGGGAGATGGTGACTATTACAAACCAAGAGAGAAGTCTCAGAAATGAAACTTGTCTTGCTGACACCTTAATCTTGGACTTCTCAACCTCCAGAACTGTGAGAAAAAATTTACTGTTGTTTAAACAACCTACTTTATGGTATTTTGTCATGGTAGGTCAAGCAGAATAATACATAAGCCAATTAAATTTCTTCTCTGTAAAATGGCTATTCATGTCTTTTGCCTATTTTTCTTTTGAATTGTTGTTTTTTTTCATTGATTTTAGGTTTTTGATTATATATGTTGTCAGCATTTTCTTCCAATTTATGGTTTGTCTATATATTTTATCATCTTTTTTGATGAACAAAAGTTCATAATTTTATCAATATATCAGCCTATTTATGTTTTGCACATTTGACGTGTTTCTTAAGAAATTCTTTCCCTTCCCAATGTCGTAAGACATTATCTTTTATTTTCTTCTGAAAGTATTATAATTTCACTTTTCACATTTAATTCATTAAGTCACTAGGAATCAATTTTTGTGAATGGGTTAGGATAGGGATCTAATTTATTTTTTGTTTTTCTGTTTGTGTAATCAGTTATCACAACACTATTTATAGAATAGTTCATTTTTCCCCACTGATATGCAATGCTAGGTCTCTCCTATAACGTGTTTCCTTTTGGGCTGGGATTAATTCTCCATTCAGATTAATTCTCCATTCAGTTCCATTGGTCTATTCTCCATGCCCCACTTTAGTTTTGTAATAACTCTTGATATCTGGTAGGACAAGTTTTCCCATCTTGTTCTTCTTCAGCACATCTTGGCTATTCCTGGCACTGTTGTGGTTATACGCCTTACTGTTAAAATGTACAGATGAAGTTTACTGGATTTCGTTAACCAATGTCACCATAAAAAGAATAATAAATAAAAAAAAGAGAAAGAAATAAAGAAGTGATAATTCGTGAATTGAAAAAAAAAAAAAAGTATGCCCCAGACATCTGATTGTTTAGCAAACAGAGGGATGCTAAGGCCAGTTTTCCTGCCTAGCCTAGGTACTCTTCTCCCTTACCTTTTCTTTCCTTTTATGTTGGTTGTAAACTTCAGTCCTTATGTTATTTGTATCTCCAAGTAACCCTGAGAGACCAGGACAGACAGATTTGGGGAGTAACTGCGCAAGCAAGTTGCAAGGCTAGGTGGATATAGTCATTGTGAGAGGCAGAATTATAGTAGTTCTAAGTGGTGGCTTGTTTTAGGATATAGCTTTGGAAGTAGAGTAGAGAAAAAACAGGCATGACTCACCTGCTATTGATAAACATTTAAAATTAACATTTTTTTAAGTCAAGTTTATCAAGGTATATTTTACATACAGTAAAATTCACTGATTTTGAATGTACTGTTCTGAGTTTTGACAAATGTACTGTGTTATCCTTAAAGCAGATGTCAATGTGAAATCAAACATACAAGGATATTTTTTTAGGGCAATGCTTGTAATAGAAGTGAAGAGGAAGCCAGAAAAGGCTGAGAGAGCCATCTGATCACAATGCAAGCCTGAGCCATGTGAAAAAGAGAAGGAAAAAAAAAAAGTTGGGAGTGTCCTCGAATGCTAGGAAGTCTAAGGAAAGAATAGCAGGTAAGGCTTTTGGGAGTCTGAGATAAACTGATTTTAGGAACTTTCACAATGGACTTACCTTGGTATCCTAGCTGTGCCCAGTTTTTGTCTGAGAATAGCCATTGAAATGTGCATTTGGTTCAAATGTGGTAATGAATTTCTGGACTCAGCAGCTAGGGCCCTTGGTCAGTTATGCTCCCTGTAGTTGAAACTCTGTGAAGCACATTCATGCAGCCATCATAAGCATAAAGTCATGTAGCCAGCCTACCACAGTCAGGATATAAATTATTTTCATCACCCCATAAACTAACATAACTTTTGAAGACTTGTTTTTCTTTATTTTCTAACCATAAATACTTATATTATCTCCAAAGTCCTTCTGCAAAGTGGTTGGTAAACTTCTGAGACCAATTATTACAGTCAATCTCAACAGCTTAATATATGGCTTTCATTAGTAACTGAATTTATCATGCCAAAGAGATGGCTTTTCACTCCTAATGGGTAGGTCAAGGATGACAATCCTTGTAATATATAGTCACATGAGGTAAGGTGGCTAACCTTTCATAACCCTCACATCTGTTAGTCAAGGCTTCCACGGAGATGGGAGTCATTTAACCTTCCAGATATCTCTGAATGAGTTAGCTAATGTCACTTGTTAAGAGAAGTACACATATGAGCTATTATCAGCCAACACCCGCAGCAGCTGAGGTATGATTGTACCAGCCTAGTAAAGAAGATCTGGGCAAGACAGCAACATTATCTGCTATGCCCAGTATCACATTCAGTTGTCACAAAGCTCTATCAATTCTATTATCTTAATATTTCCGGTTATTCCGATTACCCCTGGGTTAGTTCCTACTCTCTTTCATTATATCTTGCCTAGAAAACTGCAAGTTATCATCATCTCTCACCTAGCTATCACAATAGCATCTTAACTGGTCTCCTTGTTTTAGACCTTGTCCACTCCAATCCATTCTCTACAGAGCAAGCAAAATGATACATTTAAAATATGTTACCCTTTCATGATAAAAACACACAACAAACTAGGAATAGAAGGGAAATCCACCTATCTGATATAGGGGATCTACAAAACAAAAACAAAAACAAAACAAAACAACCCACAGCTAACTTCATACTTGATAGTGAAAGACTGAATACTTTCTCCTTAAGGAACAAGATGAAAATGTCTGCTCTCACCACTTCTATTCAACATTGTACTAGAGGTTTTGTCAGGGAAATTAAGAAAGAAAAAGAAATAAAAGGCATTCAGATTGGAAAGGAAGAAGTAAAACAGTTCTATTTGCAGACGACATGATCTTGTATAGAAAATCCTACAGAATCATATATGCAAAAAACTATTAGAATAACTGAATTCAGCAAGGTTATGGATACAAATCAGTATCCAAAAATCATACACTAAAAATGAATAATCTGAAAATAAAATTAAGAAAATAATTCCATTTATAATAGCATCAAAAATAATAAAATATTTAGAAATAAATTTAACAAAAGAAATACAAGTGTTTTAAATGAAAACTACAAAATGTTGATGTAAGAATGTCCAAGCCTGTAGAGAATTTTTATAAGAATTTATCCGAGCCAAACTGACAACAATGTCAGGAAGCAAGATCTTAAATGCTCTGGATAATAACAGTTTTGCAGTTTTATTTATA